GGAAGACCCCCAACGAGATGGATTGGCACAGTGGCAGCAGTACCAGGCTTCAGCACAGCAGCCACTGTGAAGATGGCACAGGATTGGGAAGTGTTTTGTTCTGTTGAACACAGGGTCATTATGGGCCAAAACGGCACCTGACAACAACAACAAAGTAGCAGCACGTTCACCCCTGCCTCTGGATTCAGTGAGTCCTTTTCCCACCACCAGGCCCAGCCCAAGTTGTTGTTGCGTGTCATCAAGTCGACTCTGACTATAGGAGAGAGTAGAACTTCCCCAAAGTTGTAATCTTTATAGGCATAAACCACCAGGTTTTCTCATCCTTGGAGCCACTGGATGGGCTTGAACTAACAACCTTTCGATTACCAATATAGCACTTAGTCATTGTATCACCAGGTCTCCTTCACATGTAAGTTATTTCCCAGACACTGTGCATCCAGATAGTATGAATGTACTCCCTAATCCCCCGCCCCACATTCACAGCAGACTCTGATTCGCGAGACACACAACCCTGGAGACACCCACTTAACTCTTCCACAGTCAGGGATCCTGTCGACCCTCGCTGACAGAAGGATTCAGAGCATTTCATTTCCCAGCTGAGACTGAAAACCTTTTTCAGGTGAAGCCAACAGGGACCTGCTCTAAACTCAAAACAGTTCCTGTTCAATCTGGCCACATTTTGTCCACACACTCTCCAGCTCCTTCTCATCTGACTGCCTGCCCCACTGAGACCCCCAGGATCCTCTGAACCACCTCTCCTCCAATTGATTGAAATCTGGAGGGCTATCACCAGCACTGCCCTGCCTGTCCTTCCAAATTGCCTTGCAAAGACGCTCCACCTGCCCTGAGCATGGGGACTGACAGGTCACTGACTATCCTCAGTGCTTCCAAACAGAGGGCACAGCCTAGGTGTGCCCATAGCTCAGAGGGAACCGCTCCTACAGTGTCTTTTTCCACATTGACTCATAGTGACTCCGTATAGGGTTTCCAAAGAGCAGCTGGGTTTGAACCACCAACCTCAGAGGTAGCAGTTCAGTGCTTGTCCTACAGCACTACACCAGGAATTCCTTTATCTGCTTTGTTGTTGTTTGTTGTTGTTAGGTACCATCAAGACTCATAGTGACCCCATGCACAACAGAAGGAAACAACGCCAGTTCCTATGCCAACCTCACAATCATTGATACACTTGAGCCCATTGCTGCTGCCACTGTGCCACTCCATCTCGTTAGGGGTCTTCCTTCTTTTTCACTGACCCCCCACCTTACCAAGCATGATGTCCTACTCAGGGACTGGTCCCTCTGACAATAGATCCAAAATATGAGAGACCTGAAATCTGGCCATTCTGGCTTCTAAGAAGCACTCTGACTACTTCTTCAACCACAGATTGGTTTGTTCTTTGGGCAGCCCATAGAACTCTTAATATTCTTCTCCAACACCATAACTCAACTGCATCAATTCTTCTATGGTCTTCCTTATTCATAGTCAAACTTTCACCTGCAATTTAGTCTATCTAAAATAACATAGTTTGGGTCAGGTGCACCTTAGTCCTCCAACTGACACCTTTGCTCTTGAACTCTTCAAAGAAGTCTTGTGCAGAACTGCCTAATGCATCATTTGATTTCTTGACTGCTATTTCCTTGAGTGTTCATAGTGGATCCAAGCAAAATGAAGTCTTTAACAACTTCAATATTGTCTCCATTTATCATGATGTTACTTATTGGCCCAGTGATGAGGATTTTTGTTTTCTTTACATTGAGGTACAATCCATACTAGAGGCTGTGGTCTTTGATTTTCATCACTAAGTATTTCAAGTCCTCGTCACTTTCAGGAAACAAGATTATATCATCTGCATAGTGATATTGAGTGACAGTGAGTCTTCCTCCAATCCTGATGCCACATTCTTCTTCACATATTCTAGCTTTTTGGATTATTTGTTCATCATAGAAATTGAATAAGTATGGTGAAAGAATACAACCCTGGCATACACCTTTCATGATTTTAAACAATCCAATGGCCCCTTGTTCTGTTCTAACAACTGCCTTTTGGTCTATGTACAGGTTCATCCTGATCACAATTAAGTGTTCTGGAAAATCCATTTTTCACATTATCCACAGCTTATATCATGATCCACAAATTTGAAAGCCTTTGCATAGTCAATAAAGCACAAGTAAACATCTTTCTGGTATTTCTCTGCTTTCAGCCAAGATCTATCTGACATCAGCAATATCTCTCAATCCACATCCTCTTCTGAATCTGGCTAGGACCTCTGACAGTTCCCTGTCAATGTACTGTTGCAACCATTATTTTATTATCTTTAGTAAAATTTTACTTGCATGTGATATTAAAAGGTACTGTTCAGTGATTTCAGCATTCTGTTGTCACCTCTCTTTGAACTGTGCACAAATACAGATAACTTTCAATCAGTTGGTCAAATGGTTGTCTTCCAAGTTTCTTGGCATAGATGAGTGAGTTCCTCCAGTGCCACATCAGTTTGTCGAAATATTTCAATTTGTATTCCATCATTCCTGGAGCCTTGTTCTTTGCCAATGCCTTCAGTACACCTTGGACTTCCTCCTTCAGTATCATTGGCTCTTGAGCATGTGCTACCTCCTAAAATAGTTGAACATCAACTACTTCTTTTTGGTACAGTGACTCTGTATGTCTCTTCCACCTTCTTGTGATGTCTGATGCATCATTCAATATTTTGCCCATAGACTCCTTCACTATTACAATACAAGGCTTGAATTTTGTCTTCAGTTCTTTCAGTTTAAGAAATGCTGAGCATATTCTTCCCGTTTGGTTTTCTGACTCCATGTCTTTGCATATTCCATTATAATACTTGACTTTGTATTCTAGAGCTGTCCTTTGAAATTTTCCGTTTAGCTCTTTTACTTCATTTCTTCCATTTGCTTTTGCATCTCTACACTGAAGAGCAAGTCTCAAGAGTCTCTTCTAACACCCATTTTGGTCTTTTCCTTTTTTCTTTTTTTTTTTTTCCTTATGGCCTTTTGCTTTCTTCCTTAATTTCACACCGGTCATCTTAAGTGTCTAATGCATCAAATCTATTCTTAAGGTGATCTCTAAATTCAATTGGGATATGTTCAGGGTCATATATTAGCTCTTGTGAACTTGTTTTAATTTTCCTTGGCTTCAGCCTGACCTTGCATATGAATAAATAGTCTGTTCCACAGTCTGCCCCTGGCCTGGTTTTGGCTGATGATATTGAACTTTTCCACCATCTCTTCCCACATATATAGTCAATTTGATTTCTGTGTATTACTTTGGCAGAAGTTCACATGTATAGTTATCTTTTATGTTGTTTAAACAACTTTTATGTTGTTTAAAATACTAGGGCACCTTAGCTCCTTTGCTCCAGCATCTTCATCTCCTGCTGCAAAGTTTACAGCAAAGGCAGTTGTCCAGTTCAGCTGAAAGGGCTGCAAACCCATCCCTGAATGCGTATTTCACCTAATATCCCAACACACCCTAGAGAAAAGAGAAACTGGCAGTGTCCCTCTGGGCTTGTCCATCCTGGACAGTGTTGGGTCACCCTCAACTATCCCCACATCCAGAACAGGGGAGTCTCCCCTGAGAGGGCCTGAGTGAGAGAGAGTTTTCACCCAGTCCAGGGTGGCAAGTCACACAGCTCGGATCCAAGTCGCGTCTCCTCCACGTACAGCTGTGATCTCCAGCAGGTCACTCACCTCTGCTCACCTCTAAGTAGCACCTACTCTTCTCAGGCACCTGGCTCACCACCTGGCATGGAAATGCCCGCATGAGGGCTGCTAGCTGCTATTCATGTCCCAATCCATCAGACACACTTTGCCACAGTCCCTGTTTTGGGGCTTCTTGAGAGCAGCTTGACTTGGGTCCCTACCATGCCTTCCCTAAGCCCTCTTACCTCTGAGACCTACTCAGAGCGGGGGCCTGTCGAGTTAGGATCCTTTCAGAGGCCCCAGCTTCAGCAAAATACGTAACAAGGGGAGGGAGGCTCCCTTTAATTCACCCAACATCAAGTCTCCAGGGAGCTGGCTTTAGGCATGGGTGCAGGGCTCCCTAGCATCACCAGGACTTGGCCTGCCCTCTCCCCTCCCAGCTCTGATTTCTACTCTGCACATTTCCACTTTCAGGAATCTCTGTCCTCAGGGTCAGCAGCTCCTGCCGTGTCATTTCACAACTGCCACATGGGAAGGAAGTGCCTCTTCCTATTGCTCCAGCAAAAACCCAGAATGAGGCCTTGCTGGGCCAAACTGGGTCACATGAGCACTCTTGAGCCAACTACTGTGGCCAGAGAGGCCAAGGTGGAGGGAAAACCCACCGCCAACCGACCACATGGCTGAGAGTAAGGAGGGACTGACAGGTGGCTAGAGCGGACCAGCCGAGGCCACCATTCCTCAGCACCCGCTCACTCCCTGTCCCACCCTTCCGACTCCACACCACTGCAATGGCCTGCACTCCACAGTTTCCCAGCATAACTTCCAGGAAGAATCTAACTTGTCTGGCAGAGAGTTCCACGTCGGGCCACATCTCAGCCCACTGCCAGCCTGAAGACCAGTTGTCCGGGGGTGGGGAGAGAGTCAGGTGTTCTTCTTTGATCCAATCAGCAGTGGCCAGCGTGGGCCTGGTCTCACAGTAAAGTCCAGGAGCGTGGGCAACTTGTTCAGGAAGAGTCCTGTCAGGAGCTCCTGCTAGAAGAGGCCATGACAAAAGCCGCTCGTTACTAAGTACACCCAACACCTGTGACATCTGCAATGGGAACAACTTTATTGACACCTGAGAAAAAGTGCAAGGAAAACATTCCAACCGACCACTTAGCCTGTCCCCTGGGCCACAACTTCCAGAGGCCAGAGCTAGTGGGTCATCCGGGGCCTCACTGGCCAGCGCCAAAGGCTAATGAAGAAGTCCATCACCAGTCTTGAACCAGAGGCAGAGCCCAGGAGAAGGTCTGCAGCTCTGGCAGTCAGTGCTCCAGGCCAAGTCTGGGGGCAGCGGTGGAAGCCTCACCGGTCAGGTTCCAGAGCGTCATGAGTCACAGTCCGGAGTGCGATGGAAAATAATTCCTCCCAGGGCTCCCGGATCCAGGCTAGCAGTGCCGCCAGCTGCTCCGGACACACAACACGGAGCGCCCAAAAGCTCTCCAACCGAGATACCTGGCAGGCCAGGCAGTTAGTGAGTGGGACTCACTGGGGGCCACACCAGCATGGGGACAGGGAGGGCTCTGTAGGGACTTGCTGCTCCTCCTAGCTCATTCTCTGTGTCTCTCCCCATAAAACATCCTGAGTCTGAACCTCCAAAGGGCTCTCAGGTTGATCATTCTATTTCTGACACCCTCCTTGTCATCAGAATGGAAATTCTCAAGTCAAGTTGCATGCATCTAAATCTAGGCTTTAGCACTTGTGACCTAGAGAACTTAACATCCTGAAGGCTCAGTTTCCTCATCTCTAAAATGGGACTAGTAATGGCACCTACCTCATGGGGTGGCTATAAAGCTCAAGTGCCTGGTACACAGCAGGTGCTAAGACACAAACTCACAGGGACCAAGTAACTCACTGAAAATCACATGACACTACACAGCGGGGCTCCCACAGCTGACAGCTGCCTCCACATCCAACCCAGTGAGGCTCCCCAACTTCCTCTCACCCAATTCTGTTTTTCTTCCACCCTGACTGCCCATTCCAATGCTCCATGCTTCCTCCCTAGACCCACTTCCCATACCTCCCCCCACTGACCATCTACCTCATCATAGAAGACCAGCTGCAGGTCCTTGGGGGCCGAGCGGTAGAGCAGTACTGAGCTCAGGCTGCTGAGGGGCTGCTGCTCCCTGACATGAAAGGGAGCTGCCGGCTCAAAGGCTTCGCCAGATGCTGCTGGGGTCGGAGGTTCTGCCTGGGACCCTGCAGAATCCTCATCTAACAGGTACAGGGTGGACAGAGTCAGCAGTAGGGACACAGGGCTTACAGAGAGGCCTGGTGGGAGAAAGCCAGTGAGAACCTGGGTGGACCCAGAGAAGCCCAAGTCCCAGGTCAGCATTAGCAGCTTCCGGAGTCAAGAAGGCCACCATCAGAGGGGCCACAGAGCAACGTGAGCCCCTGGGGGCCAGAGTTCACCCTCTCCAAACTCCGAATGTCTAGCCTCCAAAACCTGAGAGGCCCAAGACAAGAAGAACCCAGCCACTGCCCTCCCCACTCGGAAAGGCAGTCTAAGCCTCCCCCTTTCCCTCCACCCCCACCACCTCTGAGTCAGAGATCCACTTCAGAGACCAATAAACCTGACAGCAAAGGTGTCTGGGCCGCTGAGGTCAGGCAGCTGCAAGCTCCCGCCCCCAAGAGAGACAGGGCACACAGAGGTGACGAGAGGGAGGAGAGATACCTGCTACAGGAGCACTACAGAGGTGCTGGGGACAAGAATGGACAGTCCCCAAGAGGCTCCCCAAACACTGCAGCACAGTGGCCTCACCTTCCACCAGGAACACCCGAAGGTAGAAGAAGCGGGGAGCCTCCAAGGAGGAGTCTTTGTCCAGCAGTGGCCTAGGGGGCACCGCAGACAAGGAGGTTAGCCGGGGATTCCAAGTGGGAGAGGGAGGGGACAGGCAGGAGGCGCAGGGCCTAGGGAAGGTATGGATCTGAGGGCAGGGTCCAGCAGGAGTACGGCTGGGGCTTTACAAAGAATGGATCTGTGTTCCCAGGGTTGCCATCGGGGCACCCCCACCCCATGGACTCACCAGAGCCAGTGCTGTGGGGTCACTACTTCATCTGTGGCACTGACGCAGCTCCTCCAGGTGGGGGGCAGAGATTGCAAGACATCTGGGCGGGCCAGCAAGAAGAGGAGCCCACAGAGGACCCTGACCTCCTCCACTCCAACCTCGCCACCCCAACACCTGCCCCTGCCCCATACTGCCAGACATCAGCATCATCTTCAACAGATGCAAGTTTGTCTCCACTGCTGGGTGCAGACATGGGGGCTCAGCCCTGGGCCCTGTTGCCCTGGCCCCGCCCACCTACCCATACTGTCTCTCCTCCTGTCTCACCAGTGAGCTCCCCCAGAAAAGCCCGGCAACACTTGGCATCTCGGGGTAGTAGGATGCAACTGCTCTCTCCGGCCACCCACTCCAGCCGCAGACTCTGTCCTGCCAGGCCCAACTCTATACGGCTCAGATCCTGCAGGGGGATGGCCAGGGTCGGCTGTAGCCAGCCAGCCGGAGGCCCACTGGGGAGACGGTGAGGGGCCAGAGTGACAGAAAAGAGTGAGGGTATATGAGAGCAGAGTCCCCCCACAACCTCCCCAGCTGTACCCCTGCTTACTCACCAGATCTCCCCTGTCACTTTCAACACATAAAGCCTGTGGTCAGACACCACCACAAGACACAGCATCTCCCCTGTGTGGCCTGTGATCACCAGTGGTACCTGAGGGGAGAGGAAACTGACAAAAAACAGAAACACAGAACCAGGGAGGCAGGCGCAAGCTGAGCGCTGAGTCATTTGTGAGATCTAAGTCATCAGAGCCCTGCCAGGTTTGTCCTTCGCTCTCCACCCCCAGCCCTGCCTCCACCCAGCCCCCACCTCCCACACACACCTGGAGGCAGCATTGGGAGATGTGAGAGGTGAGATGCATCACCTCTCAGTGGGTTTCCCTGGCCCTCCACTCCATCCCCACACCCGGCCAAGTTGGCTGGCCTAAACCACAAAACTGATCAATATCCCCCACTTCATATTATCTTTCCATAGCTCCCCATGGCCCTCAGGGTAAAGTCCAAAGCCTTGACAGACATGCGAGGTTGCTCTGAAATGGTCCCTACCTCCCCTTCAGAGTCTTCTCTGGACCTCTGCCCCCACCCCTATGTCCTTGCTTGTCACAGCACTTCACCCAAGAGTTAGGCCTTCCCCTGCCTCCACACACACACTGCCCCCTTTACCTAAGACCGCTTTCCCTACTCCATAAGTCATGAATCAGGATGGGCCTCAACACACCTCCCTAGGAGGGCGTCCCTGGCCAGCATGGGCAGGATGAGATCTGAGCCTCACAACCCATTCCGAAAGTACAACCCTGCCAGTCTCTCCCAGAGAGTATGGGCCCCAGGGCATGATGACCTACTCTAGCTCCTTAGAGCCCAGCTTCTAACAGACACTCCAAGAGGAGGGCCCAACATCAGCTATTTGTGATCATCAGAGAAGGTCCAACCACAGAGCCGCGAGACTCAGATGTCTGGGAGCAGTCCACGATAGCGGCTCCTGCTAGAGCTGCACTCCGAAGCCAGACTTGGTGGCTGCGGTGTGCGTGCTCCAGCTCGGTGTGCGGTGCTGGGACAGAGCCAGTGGCACACACCTTGAGACAGCACTGGAACTCCTCCTGGGCATCCGTGAACACCTCCACATCCAGAAACAGCCGGAGCCGGTGGTCCACCATGCGGAGGCCACAGCGGTCAGGGGCTGGGGGCCAGTGAAGGGCCATCAGCACTGGAAGCCCATGGCTGTGGCCCTCCCTCCCCCAGCCACCATCTCTGGGGCTTGCCTGTCTACACTCACGGGGACTAAGGTTCCAGCTATGGTGGTCTTGGGAGACAGGTGCCTGCAACGGGACACTGTCGATCCTGGTGTTGGGGTCACTGTGGCCAGAGGAGTCGCAGACAGAGCTGGAGGACGGAGAGCAAGTGGGGGACTCTTCCCCGTGTCTTTGCTCCTCGCTGGGAGGCAGAGCCAGGAGAACCACATGGTCACTACCACAGTTTGGACACACAGCAGGATGATCTGTAAAAAGACATGGGCAGACCCGAGTCCCCAACACAGCACCACAGCCACGCTCTTGTGCTCCCGTATCTCCAGCTTCACGCCAGACCCACTGTTTCCAAACCCACAAAACATCCTTTCCCAAGACCTGGAGCAGGTAGTCTCCTCAAACCTGAAGTGAGGCCCTTCCAGGGAGGTCCAGGCTCCCACATCTTGGGCCAACCAAGTACCACATTGCTATGTCTCTAAAAGACTGGATATCAATGGACTGGGGATGGCAAGGGGAAAACTGGTTAGTCCCAGTCCAAGCTCCATCAGTTAACGGCTGAATAATCTAAGGCAAGGCACTAAGCTCTCTGCATCTGGTCCCTCATCTGTAAATAAAGGCAATGAGGTAACACGTACAGAACACACATCGGCAGAGAGAAGATACACTGTGTGAACAGCCAGTGTGCTAACAACTGCACCATCAGTATTCCCCAAGCTCGTTCCCATCAAAACCCCCATGTGAAGGGGAAAGCAAGAGACCACAGAGGGAGGTTAACCAAAATGATAGAGGCAGAAGGCGACTCTGGGAGGAGTGCAGAGTTAAAGATGGCAGAGGCAAACAATGATCCCTGAGAACACGGCTGGACAGACACACAGGCTGAATGTGTGTGGGAGAAAGTGGGGCTATGCCCACAAATATATGCAGGTTTGACAGAGATTATTTGTTTCTAGGGATTTACCTATTCTGCTAGTAAATCCATGAGTGTGGTAAAGCACACAGGGGCAAAGTTATGGAAAAGTTTTACAACATAACTAACACCACCTTAGGACTCCTGGTGTGGCGCTGTGGGTTAACGCACCAGACTGCAAAGCTGTTTGACCTGCAAGGTTGGCGGTTCAGGCTCACCAGCTGCTCTTCGGAAACCCTATACAGAGTCGCTATGGGTCAGAACTGACTTGACAGCACTTCACAACAACAACAACACCTTGAGGGAATGAAGACCAGTCTTGGAGGACCCCCAGGTCAGCTGGCATAACACAGTCCACAAAGGCAACACTCTACAGTCTACTTTGGTGAGTAGCAAGCGAGGTTTGAAAAGTTTGTGAGTGGCCATCTAAGGTGCAACTATTGGTCTCTCCTGGACCAAAGGGAAGAAGAATAAAGGCAAGTGGAGACAATTAGCCTGATGGGCTAAGGGACCTTACGAACCTCAGCCTCCACGGCCATGAGACAGAAAAACTAGATGGTGCCTGCCCAGCCGGCACTACCAGATGCTGTCAAAGGGGTCGTATGAAGGTCCTGGATAGAGGAGGAGAAAAATGTGGAACAAAACAAAAGCATAGAAAAGACCAGGCTTACTTGGTGGACCTCAGTCCTATGGCCTTCAGTCAACCTTCAGGTCTGAAGATGAACTCCCCTCCCATGGCTCAAATTTTAACCAAACAAAAGAAGGTTAAAAGAGGAACAATATCACCACATACACGCTCCTTAGAACGATCAACCATTTCATCAAAAGGGCAGCATTTATCCAGGAGCACAGTTCAGAAGCGGGAGGAGGAGGAATGGAATCAGTTAACAGAGGGAAGAAGTGGGGGAAAGGGTGTTACACTGTGGGGTGTGGAGTCAGTGACATGAGACAAACTGGGTAGAAACTGCTGAACGGAAAACCGACCTGCTGTATACACCTTCACCCAATTCACAACAGCTAATAAAGAAAACTCTATCCAAGACAGCGGAGCTGCAAGTCAGGAGGACCTTTGCCTCCATGCACCTTACCAGACTGAAACCAAACCCACGGCCCTCAAGTAGATCCCAACTCGTAACAACCCCACAGGACAGAGCACAACTGTCCCCAAGAGTTTCAGAGACTAGAAATCTTTACGGAAGCAGACTGCTACATCTGTCTCCTGCAGAGTGGCTGGTGGATTCGAATTGCTGTGCCTGCCACCAAGGCTCCTACATGCCTTACGGTCACATTGAAATGGCCGGACCTGCTGGGGCCTACACCCGCCTGAGGCAGAGCAGATGGGGAATGCAGCAGAGATCCACTTTCTGAAAGAAAGACACCTCCTGCTCCAACAGCTGCCAAACAAGAGAAAAGTGACTCATAAAAATCACATGTTTCAACACAGATATCATTAAGAATGTATCTGTTTCCAAAACCTAAAGACAGTGCTTTTGACTCATCTATGACAGCAAAACCTCCTGGTCTCAAGGACAAAGGGTGATGAGATGCCATGAAACACGAGTCAACATTATCAAGGAGCCTACGAGGTCAGTCATGGAAGGACAGACAGATCCAACTTCCAGAGCATCTTACTCAACAGCCAGTCCTGTCAGAGGGGCAGCGTCACAAGCCAACTCTACAGTGAGGGCTCACTAGGCCTTACATCCTTTCTGAAACATTAGCCACATTTTACAGAAAGCCTTCACCTTATGAAAAAATAAGTGTGCTTAAGCCTAGTCACAGAGACTGTGTGTCCTGACTTGGAAGGGAGAAGATGGCTGGAGTGCAATTTTTCTTTCTCTTTTTGGGGGTAAACGTAGTAAGTAGGTATATTTCTTTTTCCTAGATTGTACTTCAGGCTGAAAAGTTGTTCCCACTACAAGCATGCTTTCCTCAGCCAGGTTCCTCCTCCCCTCTGGTGAGCATGGGCCAGAGGTCAACATCAGGATCGTACCAGTCTTCTGAAACAGAGGCCTCCAGCCATTCTCACTGTCCACTCCCAACCTGGGCTCCTCTAGCTGGAACTCATGGCCACAACGCAAGCACTGGCATCTGTCCCTCAGAGGGTCTGTTGCTTCCCCACACTGATACCAGGCTGTTGGGGTGGCTGGGGTCAACACAGCAAGCAGCTCCTGAAACGAGGCGGGCATTTCAGTGTGAGCAGGGGCTGGAAGCCACTCCTGCTGGACCTCCTAATCTGCCAGAAGCCTGGGCCCACCTGGACAGCTACATGGGCGTCAGGCTCCAGCACGACGTAGCGCCGTAACTGCGGGTCTGGACAGATGTAGGAGAAGCGCAGCCTGAGGATGGGGGGTGGCCCCGGGTCCTGCAAAGGAAGAGAGAGGGAAGTACCAGAGGGAGGCCGGAGGCATCGGGCTGACACTGGGAACATGGAGGCAAGTGGCAGCTCTAGGCCCCACACAAAGGCTTTTGGTGACACGCGTGCTATGGTACAGCAGTTCTGTCCTTGCAGAGCCCTCCCACAGCTCTGGGGCCACCCCGCCCCCACAGCTCCCCTCACAATACCCAGAAACACTAGTGGAGGACCAAGCTGTCAAAGCTGGCTCCAGAACAAAGGCCAGCACCTCTTGTGACCCCCACTCACTCACACCAGGTGCCGGTTCTCTCTGGGTCTGGGGCTCAAGCTCCATTTCAGCAGCCTCCAGACTCTGACGCTCCAGCCGTTCCAGAGTTCTAGCTGCTTGGAGTTCCACCTCCAACAGGTGGGTCGAGGTGACCCTGAGGAAACGCTCCCGGCCCCGCACACCCTCAGGCCCCTCCAGGGGACACACCAACATGGGCCGGCAAAGCTCCGCTGCAGAGAGACCCAGAGAAGAGCACTGGAGGGGGGAAGAAGCCCCCAGAAGCTCTGCCCTTCTGTGGGCAGGCTTCTATCCAAAGACCCTCACTGTCAATCTGGGCTCTTTGAGCCCTCCCAAGATACACCAGCATCTCCCCACCCCCATCTTCCCTCGTGGCTCTACCCCGGAGCACTCACCTTCCACTTCATTCTGCCCCTGTTCCTCCAGGTCCCCCATCTCCTCTTCCTCCTGGGGCTCTGGCCCCACCCTGACCTCCTCTGATGTTTCCTGTGGTGAGCGCCCAGGGCTGTGGGCTTCCTTCTCAGGGGGTGAGGGGCCAGGGGGAGGCTCTGGGCCCAGGGTACCCGGGGGCAGTGTGCTGACATTGGAGGTCTGTGAGGTAGCCAGAGGAGGATTCTCAGAGGTTTCTAGGTGACTCCTATACTGCAGCCAGTCACAGCCAAACCGTTCCCGGAAGCTGTTCATGAGCTCGAGCTCCCGATGCTGCCGTACAAACCAGCCTGGCCAGGTGGGAGAAGGCACAGTTTACCAAGGCCGCACTGTACCACATCCACCCCCGATGATGCCAGCGTTGCTTCTCACTGTGAACTACAGGTGTAGAAGGTGAGAGGCCAGGGGATCTGTCAGAAGGAGGCTAACATCTCCCCCAGCACCAGTCCTAAAATATGTTCGAGGGGACACTGTTGTCATGGGCACATCGAGGGCTCCGTGTACAGATTTGTAACGTACAGGTTTCCTGCAGGTGGGAAACATGCTTAGTTTCCACCCACCCTGCATTTCCCCAATGTATCTGGCCATAAAATAAAATGCTTGACAACTTTTGACACTCCATGAAATTAATGCTCCTTAATGCGTATTATAAAAGGCTGTGTAGGAGTAGCACCTTCTCCCTTCTCTAAACTAAAAGGAGAAAGGAAGAGATTCCGCCTACGACCTTCCATCCCACCAAAGATAAAGCCCCTCCTCCCATCCCTTCAGAGTCCTGGTGGAGTGCTATAGGATAAGCACTCAACCTCAAGGTCAGTTTGAACTGCAAGGTCGGCAGTTTAAACTCACCAGCTGCTCCTCAGAAACCCTATATAGGGTCGAAACCCAATACAGAGTCGCTATGAGTCAGAACCAACTCAACGGCACTTTACAACAACAACCCATCCCTTCACAGGAAAGGAAAGATCAGCATGTGCTGAGCTGTGGGGGAAGAGTGACTCACCAGCCGGGGTGGGGTCTGGAGTCCGGGGCTCTGGGTCAGTATCACTGGGCTCGGAGATGCTGGCCCGCCTGACACGCACTCGGCTCTGAAGATGGGGAGAAGAAAGACGTTTCTACAAAAGCCAGGGTCCATCATCCATGGCCACTAACCCAACCCAACCTAACCCCCACCCCACAGCAAGGACAAGGCCTTACTCTTCTGAGGTCATCAGAGACCCCACCCTGGACACAGGCAGCTTGGCCACCACTCACCTTAACCTTCCGAAGTGGGGGCCGGGCCACAACGCCCCCAGAGGAAGGACTGTCACTCCAGTCGGGGCCACCTGAAGTCTCAGTGGTACTCCTGACTGGCGCGGGCATAGGTGGGGATTCGGGACCAAGTCCTGAGGAGGTGGACGTCTGGTGTGTGACAACAGGAAGAGGTCAGAAGACAGGATCCTACTTGCCAACTGACCAGGGAGAGCTTTAGCCCCAACACTCCTCTGCTCCCTCACATCCCTCCAGATCCCCTCATGTCCCTCCAGATCAGCCCTTGCCCTCCCATCCTCCACCACACTGACCTGAAAATCGGTGAGTGACAAGACTTCGCCATCAAGAAGGAACTAGGCAAAGATCAAAGGATAGAGGGAGAGGGTCATGGTGGAAAGCCAGCCCCTGGGTGTGCTCCCAGGTCGAGCAGGAGCTCCACACCCTATAAGGCCACCAAGCTAAGAGGGCACTGCTGTTGTTAGTCAATACCGACTCATAGAAGCCCTGCATAAGGTTTCCAAGGGGAAGCTGGTGGGTTTGAACTGCCAATCTTGTGGCTAGCAATCCAGTGCTTACCTACAGTACCACACCAAGACTTTATAACAGTGACCCAGGTCCTCCTGATCCTTACTCAGGGATGAGGTAGGGGACAGACAACAGGGGGCAGGGTGGGGTGGGACTGGCAGGAAAGGGGAACGAGAAAAACACGGAGGAAGGTCACTCACCCCGGGAGCAGCATCCCTGGCACAGGGCGACAAGTACTGGGCAGTGGCTGCTCGGTGCGCAGGGTGGAACCACAGAGGGTTCCCCTCCAGGTAAAGCTGAAGGGGAGGACGAGGAGAACAAGGTGGGCCTGCGGCCCTCTCATTATGAAGATGGGCCACTGAGCAAATCATCAAGGTGGAAAGGGCCACAGAGCCGGCCCCTGAAACCCCGAGTCTCACCTTGCGGAGCTCCGTCAGCAGCCAGAGTGGCGACAGTTCCCTGTGCCCTTCCAGCAGGTTGTAGGCCACATCCAGGTGCCGCAGGTTCTTCAGCTGCTCCACGCCTGTGTGAAGAAGGAAGGAGACGGGGGAGAGGGCAGTGAGGGGCAGAGCACCTCCTGGCCAGGTATAACCCAGTGGGGCTCCAAAGGCATGAGCAGAGGCATGAGGTACCCAGCCTACTGCTCCCAACGCTGAGTCTACACTCCCCCGCTCCTCATCCCCCCATCCTCCTGCCCCACCCACCGAGCAGGCTCCGGAGCTCATTGCCTCGCAGTATCAGGGTCCCCAGAGCGACCCCTGAGGGTCCCATTCTGGGCAGCAAACGCAGGAAGTTATAGGAGATGTCCAGATGGTGTAGTTCCCACAAGTCCTAGGGGGACAGAAGGCGGGCAATGAGAAAGAGATCCTCATCATTCACCACCATCACAGTGCCGTTGTTGTTAAAGCCTGTGAAGGGCTTCCCAGGCTGTAGGTCTCTGTGGGAGCAGAAAGTCTCATCTTCCTGCCATATTGTAACCATCACAGTTCCTACTACGTTTTCTGAGCTAGGTGCTGGGCTATGCAGTCTGTTCCCACTCGTTTGAATCCTATTAAAGTAGGTAGTCCTGACACACAGCTATTAGAACTTCGAGATTTAAACTCTGGTTTGTTTTATGCTACAGCTGGAGTCTCCAAACAGTACTATCTCCCAGATGTGGCTCCACCCCAGGGCAAGAACCAGGGCCCAGCAGAAAGGATTAGGGCCAAGAAAGGCCAAAGCCGCTGGCCTTGCCAGGCTACCCACACTCACCATCAGGAAGGTCTCGCAATCCTGGACTTGATTGTGGCTCAGGTTCAAGACGCGCACAGCTGACAAGAGATGCTGAGGAAGACGGAGGTGGTAGAGAAAGGTCAGCTGGCCTCATTACCTTGTACACAAAGACAGTGTTCTACATCCTGCTTTGGTGAGTAGCAACTGGGGACTTAAACGCTTCTGAGCAGCCATTTAAATAAGGTACAATTACTGGTCTCTCCCCATCCTGAGGAAAGAAGAGTGATGCAAATCAAAGATGCACAGAAACAACTAGCCCAGTGTCCTCATGGAACATGCAAGCAATAGGCTCCACAACCCTGAGACCAAAACAATTAGATGGTGTCCAACTACTACGGTCAGCTGCTCTGAAAGGAATCACACTTGAAGGTGTTCAATACCGTGGAAGAAAAATGTGGAACAAAGCTCAAAAATCATAAAAAAAAAAAAAAAAAAAAAATCAGACTTATTAATAGGCTAGAAATTGGCCTAGAGAGTAGGGCCCTTAGCCACCTTTCAAGTCTGGAATTGATTCCATTTCCAGCTAATCAACAGACACGTCTATAGGAGGAATAGTAACACTGGGGAGACATGCACACTTCAGAATCATCAACCATCTGGGAGCAAAAGGGCAGCATCTACCCAAGGACACAGTTCAGAAGGCCTAGGAAAGGAGGACGAATAGCAACAGGCAACCCAGGGAGGAAGTGGGATAAGTGATGCTACATTGAGGGGATTGTAATCAAAGAGATAAAATAAAATATGCATGAAATGTTGAGTGGAAAGCTGACCATCTCTGTACTCTTCCACCCAATCCACAACAAGTAACATAAAAAAAGAGGAGATGGGAGAGGGAGTCTTGGTCTCCTTGAAAGACACACCCCTAGGCAGTCAGCGACTGCCTCCCCTTTGTGGTACTCACCAGGGAGCTATCTAAGGCGCTCAGGGAGTTGTAGCTGAAGTTGGCTGAGAGCAGCGCCAGCCAGGGCAGGGCAGAGCAGAGGTCACCGCCACAGGCAGAGAGGAGTTCCTGAGGGGCAGATGGGGGTTCACCACCTCCACTCTCAGCCCTCCCCACATCCAACCCAGCTCTACCACCCATTCTTCATGTACCGGACTCTCTCTGGAGGTGCAGGCTTTGAGAAAGCTCAGATCCCCATCCCCAAGTGAGGAGTCAGATGCTAGAAGATTTACAATACAGTGCAGTATGTGGGCAGGTGCAGGGTGCTCTGGGAGCGTGGAGGATAAAGCAAGGACCCTGGAGGGAGGCTGCAGAGTTGGAGACATCAGAGACAGACATATGGGTCCACCCCCATCCTCCTTACCGCTAAAGCCCGGATGCTCCTGCTGCAAATCAGGGTCTCCAGCTGGGAGTAGATGCCACGGAGGCCACGCAGACAGTGGAGGGGGACACTGTGGAGCTAGACAGGAAGAGAGGAAGGAAGGAAGACAAAGGTCTCATCCCCTCTCCAGGTGGCAGGTGGAGGGAGAAATTGACAAAGCCCAGATGCAAGAAATGGAAAAGTGGACACGTCACTACAGAGCAAGTTACCCTCCAGTGCGGCCCCCATGCCCAATATGACTGCGTCAAGCTGGGTTTTGTATACCAGCAGCCCGCCCAGGCCCCATACCTCCAGCTGTCGAAGGGACTTGAAGGGGAAAATCTTGATGGGCCCTGGGGGGCTGGGGCCAGGGATGTGGACCAGCTAAAAGAAACAGCACTCAAGTCAGGGAGGCAGTGCAGATCTCTTCCCTCAGCAAGACTTCCTTCCAGCCACTACCTGCAGCCCTGATAGCATCCTGTCCTAGACCCAGCCCCCAGCCCCCCACCCTGATAAGTGCTGCCCACTCCCATCCCTGGGACCTTGAGTGAAAGTGCTTTCTGCAGTACGTCAAAGAGGAACTGGAGCTGGAGGATGACTGGGGAGTCGGCGGGGTGGGAGGGCAGAGCCACGAAGCCTATCTGACCAGGACTCCATGGTCCTAGGTGCAGCTCAAACATGCGGTTCAGCTGCTGCAGGGTGACAGTCAGCAGGCTCAGCGTGCTGCAGCCAGACAGGACCACGTCCCCTGGAGGAAGAGGCAGAGAGAAGGGCAGCATAATCTCTAAAAGAGAGGCACTACCAGTTCTGTCTGAAAGACTTGAAAACTGAAGCTCAAAGTAATTAAGAATCTTGATTAAGGTCAGATAACTACTAGGCAGTTGCTACTTCTGCCTGAACTCAAAGTCAACGTGTATGCTACTTCAAGTAATGCCAACCATCTATTGATCAATTGCTGCAGCGCCACCACACCCAGGTACTGAGGGCAGCAATTAGAACAATAACACTACCACCACTAGTAACATTATTTGTACAAGCATTATACCACACACTTTACTTGAATTAAAATTAATTCCCGTAACAACATTTGAGGTAAATAAAACCATTATGCCATTTAACTGGGAGAAAAGTTGAGGCTCCAAAAACGTACACAGCTTGGCCAAGTTTGAGAGAGTTGGAATTACAACCCAGTCGGACTCCAAACCTAATGTTTTTCAACTAATGTCACAAGACATGAGCATAATCTCTTTAAAGTGTTTAAGAGAAAAGGACTAAGGTCCACCTGACCCAAGCCATGGTATTTTCAATAACCTCATCTGCATGGGAAAGTTGGGCAATGAATAAAGACTGTAGAAGAACTGATGCATTTGAGTTATGGTGTTGGAGAATATTAAAGGCACCATGAACCACCAAAAGAACAAACAACTCTGTGGTGGAAGATACAGCCAGAATTTCCTTAGAAGCCAGGAAGGCCAGACTTCGTCTCTCATACTTCGAACCTATTTTCAGGAGAAAACAAACCCTGGAGAAGGACATCATACTTGGTAAAGTGGAGGGTTAGCAACAAAGGGGAAAACCATGAATGAGATGGATTGGCACAGTGGCAGCAACAATGGGCTCAAGTGTAGCAACAATTGTGAGGCTAGCGCAGGACCGGGCAGTGTTTGGTTCTGTTGTGCATAAAGTCACTATGAGTCAGTATCAACCCGATGGTACCTAACAATAACACACCTAATGTCAAAGGAACCCTAGTAGCATAGTGGATTATGCATTGGGCTGCTAACCTCAAGGTAAACAGTTCAAATTTGCCAGCTGCTTCGGGGGAGGATGAGACTTTCTGCTTCATGAGGAGTCCTGGTTTAGTGTTATCAAGCACCTAACTGCTAACCACAAGGTCGGCAGTTCAAACCCACCAGCCACTCCTTGAAAACCCTATACAGGGTTGTTATAAGTCATAACAGACTCAAGGGCACTTAACGTAGTTACTGTCTTGCTACACACCAGTGATTATGGGCAGTCCCCAGCTCCTCAGAGTTTATAGTTAAGTAGTGATCACTTCCCTTTGAGATTATCAGAGAACGTATAGAGGAAGTTACACTGGAGTTTGGCCTTGAAGTATGGCGACGCTTTAGACCGTCAAAGACAAAAGATACTGTCAGCACCTGGACCGTGGAAGAGTAAAGATATAAATGAACTCTGACATCCAGACCCCCGTGTCCCTAAGCAGTCATAACTGAGTGATTTTTATGGGGGCGTGGCTCAATAAAGTAGGATGCACCTCACGTCTCCCCAGCCCAGATGGAAGACCACTCACCCGACTGCCGCAGCAGCCCCGCGAGCTTCCAAACTAGGGAGTCCCGCGGGGCCGTCGTCATGGCCACGGGACGCCGGGGGCGGAGCCTGAGGGGAAGAGGAAGCGGAAGAGCCTCAGGTGGCTGGTAGTACCAAAAGCTCACGGCGACCGCGCAAACCGAGGCTTCAAGGGGAGTTAAAAGCAAGAGGATGTGGAAAAGCGTCCTTCTGGGTCCTCTTTAGAGGGACACGAGGGCGCGTAGCCAGACTGACCCGCCCGTCCGGCCCACCTACCAGCTCGGCAGCCGGGCGCCTAATAATGATAAACAGGAAGTCCCGCCCTGAATGAAGGCTAGCCAGAGGGAGAACCGGAAGGCACGCCTCCGCAGTCTGACACCGCTCCCAATCTTGCAAACGTGGCGAATGGGGGCGGTCCTAGGACGCAGAGCTGGGCCCCCCAACACTCCAGCTCCGCCTTAGGGCCCCGCTCAGCTCGCAACGGCCCCGGGGCCTGTGAGGAAAGTCTGACAAGTTGTTTACCGACTGGGTGGGGAAGAAGTTTGAAGAAATGGAATGTTCAGGAAAACGCATGTCCAAAACAGACACTTGTTTTCCAATCAGAGCCTGACTGTCAAACGGAGTCGCTGAGGCTGGCGTGGGTGTCACCTTTGGGCGCCTTTTGCTGCTTTTTTTTAGTCTACAAATGAGCTCTTTTTTCCTTCTAATTCTATCTGCGATTGATAATGCTTCATATGTACCTTGTTGTTGTGTGCCGTGGAGTTGGTTCCGACTCATAGCGACCCTGTACAGGGTTTCCGAGGCTGTAAATCTTTACGGAAGCAGAAAGCCTCATCTTTCTCCCACGGAACAGCTGGTAGTTTCGAACTGCTGACCTTGCGGTTTGCAGCCCGATTGGTAACCACTACGCTACCACATGTACCTAGTCCTTAGTTTTTTGTGTGTTTTCTCATAACAACTGTATTACCCCAGGTTTGAAAATGAAAAATCAAATTCACAGAGACGAGGTTATTTGCGAAGGTCGTTCAATTAGTAACCGATAAAGCCAAGACTGCCAAGTTTCTGGTTCCAAGTTCCCATTGTAGCTTTCCCCAGGTTCCTGGTCAATACTGACGTCACTACAGAACTAGAATGTGTTGTTATAAATACCACCGAGTGGGTTCTGACTCATAACGACCCTCTATTTAGGTAAAGAAAAACGCCTTTTAACAGACTTTCTAGTTTTTAAGGAGAACTTCTTTTATGAAGTGCTATTTATTCTACAGAGGAAAATAAAAACGAATCATGTTGTGTAAGCCAACTGAGGGTAAGAATAGAGTCATATTCATCTTCCAAGGTGCCAGATTTGGTGACGCTAATTTCCTAATGGGTCTCTGGGAGGTACAAATGGTTAAAGTCACCCAGAGGCACCTCAGAAAACATGCCTGGGGATCTGTTTCCAAAAGATGGTTTTAAAAATCCAATGGAGTAGTTCAAACAGCAACTAGCATCAGCATTTCCGAATGAGTAAATATATTTGAAATGACAACTTATGCTCCTAAACCAAACAACGTAGGATAAGGACTGTGAACCACAAGTTTGGTGGTTCAAGCACAGCTGCCTATCTATGGTAGAAAGATAGGCTTTCTGCTCCTGCAAAGATTTATAGCCTTGGAGACCCATATACAGGGCCACTATGAATCAGAACCCACTCAACGGCATGTAACAACATGTATAATCTGATGGAGCCTGGTGGGCTAGACAATGGACTGCTAACTGTAAGGTCATGGGTTCAAACCCACCAGCCATTCTGTGGGAGAAAGATGAGACTGTCTACTTGCATAAAAATGTATAGTTTGAGAAACACTGTATGGGGTCACTGTGAGTTGGAATCCACTCGATGGCAGTGTGGGGTATGTATGATCTGAGTCAAAACCCTAAAGGGTGATTAAATGAAGTAAGTGGAAGGACATCATAAGCAACAAAACCAAACTCACTGCCATCGAGTTCTTTACGACTCATAATAACCCTGTGGAACAGAGTAGAACTGCTCCATAGGGCTTCCAAGACTGCAGATCTTAATGGGAAGAGACAACCTCATCTTTCTCTGGAGGAGCTATTGGTGGGTTTGAACTGCCAACCTTCTGATTAGCAACCCAGTGCTTAACCTACAGCACCACCAGGGTTCCTTGTTAACCACAAAGCAGTATACAAATGTAAAGTCAGAGTAGGGGCTCAATATACATTTGTAGAATTATGAATCCCATGTTGTTAAGCGCAGTCGAGTCAGTAACGACTCACAGTGATCCTGTATAAGGTTTCTGAGGACCTGCTGGTGGGTTTGAACTGCCAACACTGTGGTTCCCAGTCCAATGCTGATCCTACAGGGCCACACCAGGATTCCATTAATCTCATAACCGTGATGATTGTCACTGATTATCAATCACCTAGAATTAGTTTGTACCAGAAGAACAAACAAATCTGTGTTGGAAAAAGTACAATCAGCATGTTTCAAGAAGCCAGAACGGCAAGTCTTTGTAGCTCATAATTGGAACATGTTATCAGGAAGGAATAGTCCCTGGAGGAGGAAATCATGCTTGGTAAAGTGGAGGGTCAGCAGCAAACGGATACCCCCAATGAGATGGATTGCACAGTGGTAGCAGTGATGGGATCAAGCACAGTAATAATTGTGAGGACGGCTCAGGGCCCTGCAGAATTTCATTCACTAAAACTGATTTGACTGCTTCTAACAACAATGGTTGTTGTTGTTTGTTGTTTTTAAGTACAGTGGAGTCGGTTCCGACTCACAGTGACCCTGCACAGGGTTTCCTGTGCAAATCTTTACAGGAGCAGAAAGCCTAGTCTTTCTCCTGCGGAACAGCTGGTAGTTTTGAACTGCCGACCTTGACAGCACTTAACAACAACAGGAACAATGGCAGACTGCAAAGCCATTTGAACTGCAAGGTCGGCGGTTCAAGCTCGCCAGCTGCTCTTCAGAAACTCTATACAGGGTCGCTATAGGTCGGAACCTACTTGACGGCACTTAACAACTCTTGGCTGTGTGCCATGGAGTGGGTTTTGACTCATAGCGACCCTGTACAGGATTTCCAAGGCTGTAAATCTTTACGGGAACAGAAAGCCTCGTAGATTCGAACTGCTGACCTTGCCGTTTGCAGCCCGATTTCTAATGGATGGGGGGCAGAGATTCTTTTGAATGTCCTGACATTACACTTTGAAATCTGTTTCAAGCATGTCTGCCCAGTGAATTGCTCCAGTCATGTGATGGGTCTGTTCTGCAGCCTCTGGCTTCCCAGGAATGTGAAAGTGGAACAAAGGAAATGGGCAAAAAAAAGCTGAACTGCAGAGGAAGAGAATAGGATCAGCTGAGAAAACCAGCAAGTGGAGTTCAGAGCGCTTGTTTCCAGCCCTTTCAGAGGCCCACTCCCCTTCTACCTTTGGCCTCAGAAGAGACCTTGGCAGTCTTCCAAAGAATGTCTCCCTCCAGCCAACCCCCCCCCCCGCCCCAACTTTTTTTTTTTGCTTATGTTAGATTGACTATATGTCTTTAGTTTATACCATCAGAGCTTTGACCAAGGTGAAAATGGCTTTAAAAAATGAAGTCTGAAAGGAAAAAATATATATTATTTCACTTACCATAGATAAAAGAATATAATATGTATAAAACATTTTGAAAAATATGTGAGAAAAAAACAACAACAGAGAACTTAGAAACTTTTTTTTTTTTTTTTTTAATGATCTTAAATAAATGAAAAGGTATTGTATTCCTGAGTGGAAAGATTCAATATCATAATAATGTTAGCGTAATGCAATTCTGATCAAAATCCCAATAGAAGATGTTTGGGACTTGACAAGTTGATTTTAAAAGGCATCTGAAATACTAAACACAGGAGCATAACCAAAAGATTTAGAGGACTAAAAAGAACACAAGTCATGAACAGGGACCTCCCTATCAGATAGCAAAATGTCTTATAAAGCAACAGTAACAAAAATAAGGTGGTACTAGCAAAGGAACAGACAAATATTGATACGTCAGTGAGACACAATAAGGTAAAATCATGATTGCATGGGAATTTTATTTATTTATTTTACTTCATAAGATACAATTGAAGGAGGCCCTGGTAACTTAGTCGGTTACAAGTTGGGCTGCTAACCGCAAGATCAACAGTTCAAATCTACCAGCTGCTCCTCAGGAAAAAGATGAGGCGCCTCTGCTCCTGTAAAGATTTACAGCCTCAGAATTGACTCCATAGCACATAACCACCACCAATAAAATTGATGTTAGAGAGGTAAATAAGTTATTCAATCCGTTTAGGAGAACAAGCTGTCCATTTGGAAAAAAATAGTTGCTTCTCTCATACCATGCACACTAAATTTCCAGAGGATTAAAGAGCTAATATATTTTAATTACATTTGAGTTTCAACTTTGCTACTCAAAGTATTATTATCCTTATTAAAAGGGCATACAATGCCATTTCATAAAATGTTATCACCATAATTATGTAATTTAATATTACTATGAGTGAAATTGCATTTCATTATGCTCTCAACTCATAAACACTCTTCTGGGTTTTACATTTAGGTATTGTCACAATACCTAAAACCAGAAAAGGGCAACCGACTCTCCAAACACATAACAAGACCTCCCAACGCAGTAGCAGATCTGGTATTACTGTTAAGGTGCCATTCGGACTAATCGTAAACCTGGAGGGGACCGCAAGGGCAGTTTGAAGCACAAGAATGGCAGTTCAAACTCACCAGCCCTTCCTTGGTAACCCTATACAAGGTCACTATGAGTCGAAACCTCCTGGAAAGCATTTAACAATAATCATAACCTACATACAATAGAAGGAAATACTGCAGTATTCTCACATTGTTCTGTTTGAGCCAGCGTTGCAGCCACTAGGTCAATCCATGTCTTTGGGGGGGTCTTCCTCTTTTTTTGCTAGCCAACCACGATGTCCTTTTCCAGGGACTGGTCCCTCCTGAATCTTGATAACGTGTTCAAAGTATGTGAGATGAAGTCTCACCACAATCATTTGTAAAGAGCATTCTGACTGTACTCCTTCCAAGATAAATG